CCCCCTCGGCCTTTTTTTTTTTTTTTTTTTTTGCCTCTTTTTTTCCCCTGAAGGTAGAAAATACCATTTCACTATAGCTACAGTTTACCATTGTCCCCATGTTTTCTCTAAAAATATTTTTCACATTTCTGATTTTTTTGAAGTGGCCATTACTGCTGTATAAAAATATGCTAGGAGGAAGGATATAGTCACTACATTTCTTTATTTTATCATTATGAGGCAAAAAACTAGAATATCCTATGCCTGTACTCCAATAGCTATATTCTCCTCAGCCTTCAATAGGAAACTTTTAAAACTTGCATTAGCCATAAAAACACTCTTGTAATTGCAGGGGTTTGGAGAACAAAATCAACAAAGGCCTGAATTTTGCAGCCCAGAGGACACATAGACTAAGAATAGCTGTTCACACATCTATGCAGGAGCCCCTGGCTAGGTGCATTCACTGCGAGCATCATCCAGATGGGAAAAGTGATTCATCCAAGTCCCTTGGGTATTTGTGTTCACTTTAGAGTCCTTGAGAACACACTTAGGTAGAGCTGGTTTTCAGGGCAGCAAATCATTTACATAATATTTGTGCTTTATATAATGTCTAATATACATGAAAAGGTATACCTTTCCCCGAATCTTTTGTCACAAAGGCAAGACTTAAAAAAATACCCTTTTATATTGTGAAATATAAGATTCATAAACAGAGTGCACAAAACAGACGTGTGCGGCTTAATTAGTACGAAGCACGTAGCTGTGGAACCCTGCCCGGGGAAGGGAACTGTTCCACCGCAGTCACTACTGCCTGCTGCCATGTGTCCCGGCAGGGACTCACATTCCTGAACAAAAGACTTTAAAGCAGGTGCTTCTTGTTTTCTGTGGGGTAGCACGAGGGAGGTCTGGAGGTTTGGTGGAACTGGAACGTACGGTATTGTTACCTGGGTTTTTTACCCTTTCTCTCTGAGGCGCATAAGTCTAGGCATCGACTACCACCTGCTGTGATATCTGCCGTGCAGATTGCTCTTTGTTATAGCTGTGATTATTCTGTTCCTTCAGACTGTGTAAGTCGTGAATGATTCATACAAAATGACTCTGTGGAGCTGATACATACCTGATGCACAGTAGTAACTTGTTTCCACACAATTCCAGGACATTAGCTTATTGCCAGTGGGTGGACAATCTCAATGAGACCCGGAAGATGCTCTCTCTTAGTGGTGGTGGTCCCTTCAGTAACCTGCTGAGGTGGGTCGTGTGCCACATAACGAAAGGAATTGTGAAGCGCGAGATGCATGGCCACGGCATTGGCCGCTTCTCAGAGGAAGAGATTTACATGCTGATGGAGAAGGACATGCGGTCCTTAGCAGGGCTTTTGGGTAAGGTGCCATGCCTTCTATTCTGTATTTCCTTATTTTTTGCATGATTAGTAAAGCATTGCTGATTTACTAACGTAAAGTTTATTTTGGTTGGTTTGTTCACTTCCACATGTAGTTGCAGTCCCCCCGTCTATCCAAGTTCCCTAATTTTCAGGAGCATGCGTCTTTCTACTTAGTCACTGGCATTTTTCTGTTTTTAATGTAAAATATGGGTCAATATTTAGCATCGACATTCGGCTGTAAGGATGCTGGCATTTCTGGGTGTTCTGTGAGAAAGGGTTATTTGGAGTCAGGGAGCTCTGCTGTTTACACACAGGTCAGTGTTGACCTCGTGAACCCATCTACTCAGAAGATTAGACTGTGTAAAACATCGAAGAGTTTGAGAGACACACTGACAGTGCTGGTTCTGACCAATGTTTGTGTGTGTGTGTGTGTGTGTAACATTTGTCTTTCTTATTCCTTCCATTTCTGTTTGTATCCTTGGTTCACTTACTAGCATGTTTTAGCTCTGATGCTGCATTTATCGTGCACAATAAGCTTACTTGTGTTTGGGAAGCCCCCCCAAAGACAGCCATGTATTATGCACCCTTGGATGGTTATGTTCTTGTTCACCTGGCTGGTTCCAGGTGGCTGGAGCTGCTTCAGTTCTGCACCGGGCAGAGCTTGATTCTAAACTCTGACAGTTAATAAAGAGATCATTTGAATTCAGGACCTTCTAGATGTGAAATGAAGTCTTTAAATGGGGGCGACTAATGTGTAGAGAGCCAAGCTTGCTCTGTGACTTGTCCTTTGGGGGATGTTGATTTTGTCTGCGGGTGAGTCTCCCCCCCGCCAGCCTCACTTAGTGGCAGTCATTTCCATATCCATCCTCAGCTCCATTTGGGTGCATGTTAGGTACCTCACCTTTAGGAAGCGGGGTTTGGAATTTGTTCTGTTGAAGCCCACCTGGGGTCCTAGGAACTGAAGGCTGTGCTGGTTACAACCTGTGTCTTGCATAGTGACCTTCTCTGACTGGCTCTTTATTGCCCCATACTGCAGACCCTTGGTAGACCTGCAGTCATCCCTTGAACCTCAGCCTGCAAATCTGGCAGCACATCCATCTCTTGGCTAGCTTTGCTATTCTGGTTGTGGTCTGTAGGGGGTTTGGTACCAGCTGGATTCTTTCAAGCTCTGTCTAGCTTGAAAAGTTGACACTGTCTAGACCTTCTGTCATTTTGCTCTGCTGGGACCAAGTGAGCCTGCTTGACTGAGTTGAGTGGAGTTAGCCTCCAGCTTGCTCATTCCTTTGGAAACTTCACGCTGGATTCTTGGCCTCAGATACCTGACCCACACCCTGGATCGTTTCCCGTTAAAAATGGATATGCCTGTTCCTGGCTCCTCCCTTCTCTATCAGCTCATGCTCTTGGGATCTCTAAAAGCAAGGAGTTGAGGTCCCAGACTTATGGCACAGATTATTCCAATGAAGTTCGCTCATCTTTAACAATTTAGCAGTGTTGCTTTCTTAGCCAGAGGGCAGTGAGCATCACCTTTCTGGGGTGTTTCTGAATGAGAGAACCAGGGAAACAGCAGCAATAATGATAAATGACAGTGTTTTCTCCAGTGCTTAATGACATAATGCTTTCTCCCCAATTTTGGGGGAAGTTGGAGGGAAATGAATCACTGACAGCTGGGCTGGATACATTGCAGGTATAGTAGTCCCTCTTTATCCATGTTTTCATTTGCTGCAGGTTCAGGTAGCTGTGGTTAAATGAAGTCTGAAAATATTCATGGGAAATCTGAGAAATAAACACATTAGCTTTACATTGCCTGTTGTTCTGAGTGACATGAAAGCTCTCAGCTTCCTGCTCCATCCAGCCCAGGATGTGAATCATCTCTGCTCAGTGCCTCTCTGCTGTATACACTACTCTCTGTTAGTCACACGGCCATCAGATTGACTATTAGAGGAGGTGTCACAGTTTTGTGTTTAGTTAGTCCTTATTGTACTGAATTAGGCCCCAAAATGCAAGAGAAATGATGCTGGCATTTTGGATCTGCCAACAGAAGCTGTCATGTATTTCCTTTAAGTGGAAAGGGTACAAGTTCTCAGCTTAATATGGAAAGAAAAAATTCCTCTGCTGAAGTTGCTAAGATCGCAGTTAAATTACTGTTGTTAGTGTATGACTGTGTCTACTTTACAAATTAAACTTTATCATCTCTACGTATGTGTAGGAAAATGTATATATAGGGTTTGGTACTCTCTGTGGCTTCAGACATCCTCTAGGGGTCTTGGAACATTATTCACTGAGGTATAAGAGGGGACTACTGTATCACAGAGTATGAGGACTAAATGAGCACTTTATGTAAAATGCTTACGGGAGAGTCTGGCATGTAAATACTGAATAAATATTAGCTATTATTACTGTTTCTTTCTCAGATTTTGTGTATAATGTAGCTTCATTAAGAATATTGTTTTCAGGTGAAATGTATTTGTGACAAAAATTTTCTGATCTTTAAATGTATTAGTTAATAGAAATTTGAGAAGGTTCAGAAAAGCACAGAGAAGGCAGATAAATTAATGTAATTTTACGATCTGTTGCTAACCAGTTGCCATTTTGCATACTACTATTTTATGCATAATTTTGAATCATGTATGTATACTTATAAATATATATTTTCCCATATTTTCTTTTTTTCTATTATTAAATATTCTGTACTAAGTGACTGTGTGCCTGGTACCATACTTTGTGCCAGGGAAACTGATACAAAACCCCATTTTGCCTTATAAAAAATATTTCAGTTCTCTTATTAATTCTGAGTCTTCAGGTATGGTCTTGAAACAGACAGAAAATAAAACAGAATGAAAAAAATTGTACAGCTGTTTCTGATGTTGTGGGGGAAAGCCAGATGTGACCATTTGGTATGAGATTAAAGGATGTGAAGATGAAATTCAGTACAAAGTCAAATAACACCACTCATGTTTGATACATAAGGAAATGGAGGGACAAAATCGTTGAATGATTTGCTGTTGGTCATGAAACCAGCAAGAAGTAGAACCAGGAATAAAATCCAGGTTGTCAGACCCAAGACCCCTATTATTTTCTGACCCAGCTATTCCCCTGAAGTTCCATATAAATTGTGCTTGAAAGTGAAGTCATCCTATTATGTCAGGATAACTTCTTTAGAACATTTCTTAGTTACCAGAGCTTTAACTGGCAAGTTAAAATGCGATCTCCAAAGTAATTTTTATATATATTCCATTCGCTGGCCCCCGGAAGCTGAACACAGAATTGAATATGGAGTGTTAACCACTGATTTAGATTTCCTGAGCTGTGTGAGTTGAAATTGTGCCCTTTCTTAGGACACTTGCTCCCTAGCCTTCAGCTGACATGCACAAATACTTAAGAGAAAGAATCTCTTTGAAGGGGCTGTTCTTGAAAAAGCCAAGTGATACATTGCCTTTATAAGTAAAAGCAAGAGAATTTGATTTCCAGCAGGCTTCTGACTAATAAAAAATTTATTGTGCTTTTTCTTTTAGCTGATCTGAAATGTTTTATTGAGTCAGAATAGCTCTGGTGTCTTTGTTTTTCAGAGTCCTTGTTGACTTGGTGTCAGCATATTTTAAAGATGCAAATCTGTTGGCTATTTTAATAAATATCAGTGTGATCATGACTATTTAATAGAGCAGAGGGGTGCAAGGTAATATTTTCTTTCAGAGACAATAAAATGAATCATTTACCTGCTTTTGTCACCTTCCTAATCATGTATAATTACAGAGTGGTATAGTTTTTCAAAATGATTGTATTTTGCTGTTAGATTTAAAAAAATGACTAATTTTGTTTTTCAGTTACCTAGACAGTTGGCTGATCATAGTTCAGAGTTAAATCGTATATAGATTAAAATATTCTCAAGGAACAATATGGTTAAGCTTTGTGATTAATAGTAGAAAATCTCTAGCCCACTTTTCACTGGAAATGTCTTAGGGTTCTGTACCTTCAGGCTGAGAAGCCTTGCTGTGAAGCAGAGTACTGATGCCATTCAGGAATCACCAGGGATATTCATGGAAGGGTGTGTGTTGGGGAAAAGGTAACAAGAATAAGGGTGCAAGTATTCTTTGAAATCTAGGTCAAAATCTCAGAAAGGTGTGATGCCGCGTTGCATACCCCTTTATTTCTCTCGTATGCCAAGAGGAGAGAGAGCTGCTCTCCATGAGCTCAGAATCCAAAGGAGCAAGTGAGGTTCTTGTAGGACATGGACTGAGGGATGGGAAGGGTTGTGTTGTAGCAACAGCATGAGAGCTGCACTTTTTTGGTGAGTGTGCCAACCCCCTTTTATGGTTTTGTATACCTTGTCTTACGATGCTCAGATTTCTCCAGGTAACAGCACAAGATTACATTTTGATGATTTTGGAACTCAGTTTTCGTAAAGTTGACCAGAGCCAAGAGTTACTAAAAAATTATTGAGGTGGTCACCACTGTGTACGGAGGGTGAAGGGATGAGTTGAAACTAGGCCTGAATTCCTTCTCTTGGTCTCTGCTGACCCCTCAGGCTCAGGGTGGAGTAACAGGCACCTGGGTGGGAGGGGTTTTTGATAGTTTTAAAGAATCTGTATATTTATTTGATCATGATAAAGCAGCATAGCCTACTAAGATTTAATGTTTCTTTGGGGTCTTTTGAACTTTTATAGACTATTAAAGTTATGTTATGGGAAAAGCAGATGAGTAATTGGCAAATACAGTTGGTTTGGGTGATACAAGTCTTTGGGAACTGAGAAGTAACATCATATTTTACAGCTGTGCACTTTCATGAAGTGGGAAGGTTACACTGTTGTTGTGTGAGAGCAGAAGGTGGTATAAAACAAAGGTCACCAGGGGTTAAGATCATGCAGGTTTAATTTGTCACATAAATAATTTTGGACTTTTTTTCCCTAAAGGCAAAATAGACCATCAGGTCTTTATATAGGAAGATGGCACAATCCTATATATTTAGTGTGCTACAGCAGTGATGGCAAACCTTTTAGAGCT